TCTGGGCCTGCCCCCACCTGTCAGTGGATCACTAGCTTTCTGACAGACAGGAAGCAGCAGGTGAGGCTGGGGAAAATCAAATCCAGCAGCCGGACAATCAGCACAGGTGCCCCCCAGGGATGTGTGCTCTCCCCTCTGCTGTTTTCACTCTACACCAATGACTGCATCTCGAAGGACCCCTCTGTTAAACTTGTACAGCAGGGAGACAACACTTTTAGACTTTTTTACTTAATTTATCTAAGGTTGTGCTAAATCTTAGTTAATGTAGCTTTAATGTGCTTGTTTTATTAAAATATTTGTGTATACAGGGTATATATATATATACACACAGTGGGTACGGAAAGTATTCAGACCCCCTTAAATGTTTCACTCTTTGTTATATTGCAGCCATATGCTAAAATCATTTAAGTTCATTTTTTTCCTCATTAATGTACACACAGCACCCCATATTGACAGAAAAACACAGAATGTTTGACATTTTTGCAGATTTATTAAAAAAGAAAAACTGAAATATCACATGGTCATAAGTATTCAGACCCTTTGCTGTGACACTCGTATATTTAACTTAGGTGCTGTCCATTTCTTCTGATCATCCCAGAGATGGTTCTACACCTTCATTTGAGTCCAGCTGTGTTTGATTATACTGATTGGACGTGATTAGGAAAAGCCACACACCTGTCTATATAAGACCCTACAGCTCACAGTGCATGTCAGAGCAAATGAGAATCATGAGGTCAAAGGAACTGCCTGAAGAGCTCAGAGACAGAATTGTGGCAAGGCACAGATCTGGCCAAGGTTACAAAAAAATTTCTGCTGCACTTAAGGTTCCTAAGAGCACAGTGGCCTCCATAATCCTTAAATGGAAGACGTTTAGGACGACCAGAACCCTTCCTAGAGCTGGCCATCCGGCCAAACTGAGCTATCGGGGGAGAAGAGCCTCGGTGAGAGAGGTACAGAAGAACCCAAAGATGACTGTGGCTGAGCTCCAGAGATGCAGTCGGGAGATGGGAGAAAGTTGTAGAAAGCCACCCATCACTGCAGCCCTCCACCAGGCGGGGCTTTAGGGCAGAGTGCCCCGAC